CACAAGGGGTCTTAATTTAAAGTGCAAATTAAAATATAGTTGTATCTGCAACTGCATTTGATGTTTTGAACTTTTAAAATATTACATGGTAAAAACAGAAGCTGCTCTTCATATTAGTGACAAACAATAACAGTAACAACAGCTTTTTGACAACTACAAAAATTAACTTGATAAAGTGCAAATTAAAATATAGTTGTATCTGCAACTGCATTTGATGTTTTGAACTTTTAAAATATTACATGGTAAAAACAGAAGCTACTCTTCATATTAGTGACAAACAATAACAGTAACAACAGCTTTTTGACAACTACAAAAATTAACTTGATAAAGTGCAAATTAAAATATAGTTGTATCTGCAACTTTATTTGATGTTTTGAACTTTTAAAATATTACATGGTAAAACCAGAAGCTGCTCTTCATATTAGTGACAAACAATAACAGTAACAACAGCTTCTTGTTTAAAGTTTCTATATAATACATTCAAAATGTTTAAAAATAAACTACAAAAATTAATTTGATAAAGTGCAAATTAAAATATAGTTGTATCTGCAACTGTATTTGATGTTTTCAACTTTTAAAATGTTGCATGGTAAAAACAGAAGCTGCACTTCATACTGTATTAGTGACAACCTTTGGTGTTTTTTGATGGGTTACCTTCATTTTTGCTTCTACTTTTCATTTAAAATATGTTTCCATTCTCGGCAGGTTTCTAAGGTTCTTCTACATATTAAAAAAGTTGTTTAACAACTGAGTGGCGCACTACTGCTACTAGTGGTGAGAAAGTGTATTGCACCTTATTCAAAATCAATGTAATCCCACGGCCCTCTGCGGCCCAAAGTTAAAAACTGCTGTTCTTTTGAGGCCCTCAAGGTGGCGCTCACGGCCGGCCCATAGGTTAAGAATCTCTGGTCTAAAATATACTTCTAGATGCATGTAGTCCACTTCAAGGGACACATATCTGTAATTTACTACTTGTGTAAAAATTATTGTTCCAAAACAAAGAAAAAAATGATATGATAGCGTAGATGTTTCTGTTTACTGTCATATTTTTTCCACTCTAGGGTTCTTCTGGAATAGGAGGACTGACTGGATACACCTGTGGTAGTCAACAGGTGTGTCTGTCTGTCAGCCATCTTGGATTCAGAGAAAACTCTCCTGCTGACAACTGACCGCTGAATAAACCTCAACAAAGTGAAGCAATAGGCAGGACTCTATCTGCATTTTCATCACCAAAACCTTTGCCTAAAGTGTAGCTGCTGCTTGTTAGGAAAAAGTTTAAGGAGCTAAATTATTCCTAAACCTTTAGAAGTAGCAAAAGCAAATTTTTAAATAATTATAAAATAAATACGTTCCTACAGAAACAGATTCACTAAAACTTCCAATCGGATTATGAGATATGAGACTTTCTGGGGTGCCTACATTTCAGAAATATTCCCTTTTTTTCAAACTGTTCTGATAAAGTAAAATGCAGGGAACATGTTTAAATCTATGTTTTAGTCTGTAATTTAATATTTTCTCCTTTCTTAAATGATCACATGAACAAGAACAGTAAACAAACTTCAGCGAGCCACTGCAGCTTTTTCCTCGTTGTCTGCTGATTACGCCACTTTTGTTTGTATGTAAATGTCAGCAAAAAAACACATTTTTCACCATAGAAGCACATTTTCATGACCGTGTTCACCTGCAACAAAAACTGCTGAAGACAACTTCTGGCTGCTATTTCTAACAAACCATTTTTATACTTGTGAACCAGAGCTTCTGAAAAACCTGCAAGGGAGTTTTAAAACATAAAAAAATCAACATATAGAAAGAAATAATCTCAGGTACTGACATGATGTCTTAGAGAACAGCAACAGCTGAAGTTTTCTGAAGGGAGGTTGTGTGAAAAGGTAATGAACAGTTAAAATCTTACCTGCTGTAGAAACTGTTACGGCCAGAGGTCTTTCTTCTATGTTTATACTAAAGCATGGAATGACATTCCTCAAAACATAAAGTCCATTTCAAAACTACAGCCC